TTTAGCCTATTCCTACTCCACACAAAGTTCACAATCAAAGCCTTTTCCAGCTCATATTCAAGATGAGGAATCAGAGGGAAATGCTTTAGAGAAATTCTAAGAGGAAATCACAAGAATTCCTGCTTAAATAGTAGATGGCAGTGGTGGGCACATTTCTGCTAACCTGCTAACAGCGGAACCAATTTTTCATTTAGTGGATTTGCATTTTCATTAATGTTTGAAACTATTTGTGGAATTAGCTTCCACTAAATCAGGTTTTGCCAACTTTGAGTCCACTAAGAAAAATTCACAAGTTTGTTCCTGTCTGTTATGGGCATGTCTCGAAGAGTGTTAGGGACACTATTGGCTTACTTCGTGTATAAGTGATAAGATGTGATTGGTCGATGAAGCAGCAGCTAGCTGAAGGCTAGTGTGTACACGTGACAAGACAAGACAGAGATGCAGCTTCCTCAGGAAGGAGACAAAGACGTGTGATGCAGACTGAGTGACAGTCGTCTGAGCAGTTAGCGGTTTAGCATTAGCTTCTGCAATTGTTTATAACCTGTTTAACCTTAGCTAAGCTAAATTTTTAGTTAGCAAAATATGGGTTAGCGAAGCTAACTTTTTGGTTAGCTGTACCCACCACTGTTAGATGGTGCATTATTAGACTCAAATCATTTAATTTAAAGAGAAAAAAAAAAAACCTGTAGAGATTCTGAAAAATGCTTACTTGCATTAGCTTACAGTAGTCCTTACGTGACAATTAAGAATTGTTGGGAGTATTTTTTTTACTTTTCTCGAATACATTATTTATAGAAAATTGCATGTATGAACAGCAACAAATTTGCTTATGAATACAAAGGGGTAAAGAAGGTTCCTTGCAGATCCAGGTTTCACCTGGGAGTCATGATGTGCTGATGTTCGACATAATGTTTATATGCTATTAGTGCTTAGTGTATATTTAGTTAATGTTTTTCTTAGTTCATATCTTAGATCTTATTACTGTTTTTCTTATACATTTTATTGTTGGATGTAACTGGGACCCTGTGTACATAATTTCACTCCACCACATGTACCACATGTGGTGCGAATGACAAAGAATCTCTGACTCTCTGACTCTGATTATGTGTTTGTTTCTGGGTGTTTGTGTTTACTTGAGTCAAAACAGGAGAAACAATAAACAGGACGTGATGATGAGTCAGACTCATCTGGCAACCGAGAAGATGCATTCCAAGCAAAACGCAGCACCTCGTTCTTTCGGTGACTAACAAGAAAACACCATCCTGAAATATGGTTCCCAGCTGTTGTACCAAGGGTCACCCTTTGAAGCAGGTTTCATTCCACTGCAGCACTTCATAGATATAAACTAAATCTCTAAGGATATGACAACAATAAAATACGGCTACCCTGGTTCCTTCTGGCATGGCGATTTTGTAGCAAAAAATAAACGAAAAAATAAACAAACAAAAAAAAACCAACAACAATGTAGAAAACTCAAATCTGTATCAGTATCTGGTCTACAAAATGAAATTGGAAAACCTGCTAAACCATCCTAAACATAAAATATTTGCCTATAAAGTACTTTAAGAGGATTAGGAGTTACATTTTCCTTGGCTAATACCAAACATAGTTAGCATAACATCACACTAGGATCACAAGACTGAAATCAAATAAATTGAAAAAACAATCTGCTCCAGTTTGTAGCATCCTTGGACCACTCACTGAAAAGGTTTCAGTATAAATCATTTAGTCTGTTTGAAAAAGCTCTGAGTTAAACCCTCCAACGTAAGTGAGAGACCTGAAGATGTCAAAGATGCTTTCAACAAAAACTAATAATCTGCCATGGGTAAAGAACATAAAGAACCCACATCCAGGGCCACAAAAACAGCACGGACCTAATTGTGTTTTCACGTAAGAATAAATTAAGCAAATTAATTCTTCTGGAAAGAAAAAAAAAACAAAAACAATAAAATTTTCTTGTTTTTTTTTTATTATTACTTACCACTTTGAATAAAAATTGAGCAAATGTACCAAGCTGATCTATTTAAAACTACATTTACAAAAATATAATGATTTGAATAATGTCTGAACTGCAGCAGATGTACTTCAAATAGAACGCCAGTGGCATTAAAACAAAAAACGTGAATTATCAAAAGCTATCTTATGACACTGAAGAAAAAAATCTTACAACATAATGCTAAACCCTTCTTTAACAATTATTAAACAAAGGCAACATATATAATTTTTCTCTTTCTTAGTTATTTCCTGTGTTGCTGCTGTTTATCCCCTCCACAATAAAAATATGAAATAAATATTTTTTTAGATATATTGATTCTTATGTATTTTGTGTTTTGGTCACTCTGTGCATCTCTGGCTTACTGATTTGTACACAATAATACACCACTGCAGTGATAAAAGCTGTCAAATACTTGCCTTACCCTGCAGCAGCACATCACATTCTAGTTGGATGTGTAGTGACTATCTTGGCAACAGTGAACTAAATATTCATTACAATAACGGAGGAGAGGTAAACGGAGGAGTGCATGAATACTACCAGCTGTGCTTCCAACAGCAGGTGACAGAAACCGAGCTACCACAAAGACACAAACAGGGCCCTGATAAAAAGCGATAGAAATAATGAGAATTAATAGGTTTGGTTTAAAGTTTGCATAAAGGGGTGTTTATTATTTCTTATCACATTAGTAAATATTTGTAAAAATGCGTATTTGCAGTTCAAACTAATCTTTCCCCACTGTGTTGTGGAAAGATTAGTTTAAGAGTGGCTAAAAATAAAAAAGGATGATGAGGAGCCAAGGCCAAGTTAACAACTCTGTATCTGTCCATTTTGTTCTTTTTCTTCACCTTTCCCCAGGGAGAAATAAAAAACACAGCAGGGGGCCATTGTCTAAGAACTGCTGGGTGCAGTTGCCATACGGTGAACTGCGGTGATCAGAATCTTCTCAAGGCAGTCACCCTCCTCTAGCTGACAGATTGCTCCCCATAGCACTCAGCAGGAAGACGGGGGACTGTTTCAGGGACGCACAAGGAGGACGGTAAATGTCTCTTCCTGTCAATAACACCAGCTGTGAATGAGCCATCTCTGCCTCCAAATGGTAACAAGGACAATTTTATTTAATCAGATATATCGTATCTGTAATGTACTCCAGAAGTACCACAGTGACAAGACATACATTTGAGTTTCTAGCACAAATCAATAAATCAAACACCTCCCAAAATGTAACTTGGCAACAAATTTATACATTTAATGCCCTTCACACTTGGTAATTGTGGCATTTTTTTCAAAACAGACTCTGTAACAATTTATCTGGGTCAAATAGTAGAGCCAAAGCAGTCTCATTACAAACTCTAATAGCAAGTTTTCATTCTATCAATGACGTAGACATCTGCAGTACTGAAATCTCTTTGCTCTGCTGTTAAGAAACCTCAGCAACAATGTTTTACATTATTTACTTAATTTATGTTTTTGTGTAATAACTCCAGGCCAAAACTGCAAACGAATCCTTGGGCTTCCAAAAAAAAAAAAAAAAAAGAAGAAAACTTGAAAACACCCCAAAAATAATATATTTTTTAAACAAAACAAAGAATCCACTGCTCCTTGGATTGTTTGCTTTGGAAACCGCAGAATAAAGTGACATACAGTAAGGTGCACATAAATCCTTCCTTCCTTCTGTCCTTTCTCCTTAAAGATTCTCAGACAAGCGAGTAAATGTTTCGACTCACTGGCTCATGGAGAAGACAGGGAAAGAAATATGTAGGGATGGAGGGAGACTGCAGGATCCCCTGAAATTTGAACCATTTTAAAAATAGTCACACTGGTGAAGACCCGCAGTATGAGATGTTCCCTTCAAAAATTAAACAAAGGATTATTAAAAGGGGATAAAAACTGTATTTATTTACTCCACTGCCAAGCTGAAAAATTAGAGGGGATGAGCATTGGCACTGAGAGTCTTTATGGATTACACCAGTGTCTATGACCAGTACTGTAGCTTCTTCTAATAGACTGGTAATGTTACTCCTTGTCAGTCACTAAAGTATCTCCGAGTTTGAGTGAATCCTATATCCAACTTAGGTAGAATTAAATGTTTGTCTTGCATTAGAGACAAATTGTTTTCCATTGACCCAGAACAGACTGCAGGTCAGTTTTTGGTTTGTATTTATACATTTTCTAACATTGGCACCGATATACAGTAGTCCTTCGCTACTTCGCGGTTCAACTTTCGCAGACTCGCTCTTTCGCTGTTTTTTCAAAGAGTGGACACGATACACAAATGGAAGATTGATGGATGAGCCACATGAGCGGCATAGATTTGTTTATTTAAAATACATTATTTTAAATGATTTAGCACCTGCTGCACCTTTGTGCAGCCCACAGGTGCAGGGGGAAGCTCCCTCTGCAGCCTGTCATGATCTCCTCTTTGCCACCTGCGGCTCTCTGCCACGCCCACATACCCTTTGCTGTCCAGCTGCACCGATGGACTTTTGTCCTCAAACTTAAAATTCAAAGTGTGTCACATCATAAAATCGTCATACTCACAAAATATAAAAGTGTTAAAAGTTATTTTTAATTATTTTAGAACTTCTATGTTCAGCTGTTATAGTGTAATTGATGAAGAAGTACATTTCTGCTCTGTGCTGCAGAGCTGCCTGAAGGGTTAACCTTTAATGTCCTGCTGTGCTTCTCTTCTCTACAATTTAAATTTAAATACTGTAACATTATTTAAATTTAAATTGTTGATTCACACAGAAGGAGGGAGATTGAGAGTGAAACTTGAACTTGGACCACTGTATCCCTACTTCACAGTTTTTCACTTACCGCAGGGGCGCGGTCCCTTAAACCCCGTGATAAACAAGGGACTACTGCATGTAACTTTTAAAGTAACTCTTATTTTAGTACAGCCACTTTTTTTTTTAAACAAAGTACTTAAATAAATCCATCCATTTTTCCTGAAAAATGTCAAAGCGACTGAGTAAATGTCTAAAAGTGACAGGTCTGAACTCACCGTTCCACTGAGTAGTCAGCGAGTAAGGAACCAGATGTTTTTATCTACCAAATCCGTCAATCGCTGTTCACGCCACACAATGCACCTAAAGAAGAAAAAAAGGAACATTCAGTAATATATTTTGAAGAGACTTAATTACAGTATTTTCATAAAACTTTTATATTAAATATGGGAAATCTGGTAAAGATCAATTATGTAGCCTGTAAATAAGGATGTTTTTAATTTGTTGTTGAGAAAATGTATCACACATGGTAGAGCTGTGCACTCAGTTGAATTTATTTATTTTTTTGCTTAAATTTTGATTTTTGCTCAAATCACCAAAACAGGATACTCAATAAAAAAAATTAAAAAATTGTATTGAGAATAAAAAGAAAATAAAAAACATGAGGGAAAAGCTGATTTCATAGTGCCCTACAATAAACTGAAAGTGCACCAAATTGCTAATTAAAGTATTGAGATAAATTTATGTTGAAGGCAATTTGCTGCTCTTTAATTGAAGAAAAAATTGCAAACTGAATGAATAATAATTTTCTATAAGTTTTATTACAATAATAACCAACATGTATGTCACTACTGTAGTAATAATTGAGCAGCCCTAACAAACAGTGGACTTATCTTACTCAAAAGAAACCGATGTTTGACTCTTTGTAGGAAATTAGACAAAGTAAACTTGAAACAGAACACATTGAGACCAAAACTTGCTTTAGGCAACCAATAAAATGTCAAACATCACCACAACGAAAAGTGAATAAATTGCTGGCTGCTGTCCTGTTGACCCTGCCGAAGGCCGCATGACTGAAAGCAGTGACCGTGGAAACAACAACAGAGCTAAGAGTGACAAAAAAGGAGACCAAGATAACTGAAGGGTGTGGGAAAAAGAAGCAGATGCTGTCGTATTGTCACATTAGTAATGTGACTCAATTATCACAGAAACAGGAACACAGGGACAAATAGCAGCAAGGAAAAACACTGGCAATAATTAGAATAGACTGAAGGAATGGAAGGCTCCAAAGTAAATTACAATCAAGCTATTGGTCTCACACTCCCAATTGAACCTGTTCTAGAGTGGAGCAAGTTCAGCCTTCAGTCACACATGTAGGCTTTGTCCCCACTACTGATATTACCATCTAAAACAGATATATATTTAACGTTAACATTTTTCTTAGTTCATATCTTAGATATTATTACTGTTTTTCTTTTACATTTTATACTTTCATTGGGTGTAACTGGGGCCCTGTGTACACAATTTTGTTCCACCTCATGGACCACATGTGGTATGAATTAGGCCTGTCACGATAACAAATTTTGCTGGGCAATTAATTGTCTCAGAAGTTATTGCGATAAATGATAATATTGTTTGAAATTTGATAATAATTAGTAATTGTCAAATTTAAGAAAAAATGCTTGTTAATTTGTTTCGCTGTAGTACATTTTTTTTACCACTGGATGGCAGTATAAGACTGTTTGAACTGAAGGGTGGATAGTGAGGGAGCGAACAATGTGTGTTCAAGAAAAATGGGAGGGAGGCCCCCTGACATGACATGGGCGGTCTCTCTTTGGTTCTCAAAATGGCGGACACTCTGTGTGATTTGAGCTATTTAGGATAGCATTAAATGTGCTCTATAAATAAATCTGACTTGACTTGACTTGACAAAGCTTTACATTAAATTAAAAAAAATCAGTAAACAAGTTCTCAGCTTCTTTTTGCAGAGAAAAACAACTTTTTACACAAAGGCACGAGTTTCGACCGTGAATTTTGGCGCTTCGACAAGACGGAGGTTTTATCCCGAGGTCGGCCTGTTAGCTTAACTCGTAGCTTAGCTTCTCAGCTTAGCTGCTTTTAATGATCCAAACACTCGATTTTGGACAAATAAAATTAATTTTAAAGAGAAAGGGAGGGTCCAATGAAGAGCACCGGAGTTGAGCTTTATGTCATCCAGTGTCTTCATTAGAAAGAGAGAGACGAAGAAACGATAAAGCCGATAAAATAAATCAGATCGATAATTTTAATTTATCATGCGATTAATTGATTGTTAATCGCGACAGGTCTAATGTGAATGACAATAAAGAACCTTGAATCTTTGTTCATATATTTTAAGAAAAACATTGTAATATTCATGACTCACCAGTAGGGGGAGAGAACATACAATAAATGTATACTTCTACCCAATCCTTGGAACTGTGAATATACTTTACTACTGTTGGATTTTTTTCTGCTTGCTTTTGTTTTAAATTTATTTTCTTTTTATATAACTTTGTTTATTCTTTTATTAAACTACGTTAAGTAAAGTTAAACTCAACTCAACATCCATGTTAATGACTTAAAATACAACAAACATAGCATGTTTAAAGATATTATCAAATTTTGTTTTTTATATTGTTTACAATTCCCTCAGTTATTAACTATTTCAACAAACAATCATTGGCAACAGGATTAGTCGATAGGGCTTTAAGCCTGCTATTGAGAATGAAACATGGACATGCACGAATCAGCAACAGGTGAGATGAACAGTCATCATTCCATTTTAGTGCACTGTTCAGCTCATAAATATAATCAAGGTAGCACCAACATGTTAAATGCTGCTTGACTATAAACCTCTTATAAATCCTGCTGTTCATGGTCATACTTTTTACATGTAAGACCCTTCTGCTTCCTCTTTCAGGAGCACGCACCTCGTCATTATTCAAAAACATCTCACGGTGATCCTAATTGCTCTAACAGAAAGCAACTGGACTTTCTTTCTTGTCCAAATAGCTTTTATTTAAACACACAGGATTAAAGTGAACTGGGTAACTCTGAATCTGAACTAACTTGTTTGAGGAACAGCTCAATGAATATAGTAAACATACAGACTTTGAAAAGTGGTCTAAGCTCCCAGCATGCCAATTCCAAAGAGCATCTATGGAATGTAGACAACTAAGACAAACCTTCGAAAGCCTCATGCCACAACCCACAGGACATGCTGCCAACATCCTGTTGTCAGAAACCACAGAACACGCCATGCCTCAATGGTTCAGAGCTGTTTGGACAGGAATACATACAGTACAAGCCAGGTGGTTTTAAAGATGTGGCAGTTTGTTATGCACAGATAGTATTTCCTACTTTAAAACATGGAGCATAAGATGAAAATCTCAGGTTCCAAACGTAACATCCAAGAGCAGAACATTTCTATGCTGCACAAGATGGCAAAAAAAAAAGGCTTAAAGACTGAAGCCATATGGTTTCTGCCCGAGAGGCGGCATGGCAGCAGCGGTTATAGCTGTTGCCTCTCAGCAAGAAGGTTGCAGGGTCGGCTCCCGGCCTGCATGGGGCCAATCTGTATAAAGATTTCATGTTCTCTCCAGACTAAAAAACATGTATGTTGGGTTCCTCGTTAACTCCAAATGGACAAGGTGTGAGTGTGAATAGTTGTCTCGTTTGTCGCTACATGTCTCTGTGATGGACTTGTGGCTCGTACAGGATGTACATTGACAAGGCCTGTCACGATAACAAATTTTGCTGGACGATTAAATGTCTCAGAAATTATTGTGATAAACAATAATTTTGTTTGAAATTTGACAATAATTAGTAATTGTTGTCAAATTTAAGAAAAAATGTTGTATGTAGAACCATTTTTGACCACTGGATAGCAGTATAAGGCCATTTGAACCGAAGGATGGATAGAGAGGGAGAGAGCAGCATGTCTCTTTAAGAAAAACGGGAGGGAGGCCCCTTGCTGTGACATGGGCTCTCTCCATTTACTTTTTTTTTTGATTCTCAACATGGCGGATGCTCGGGAGAGAAAAGAGAAAGGGAGGGGTCGGTGAAGAGCACCGGAGTTGAGCCTTTTGTCATCCGGTGTCTTCAGTACAAAGAGACATGAAGAAACAATAAAGATGATAAATGAAAATAAGGTTGATAATTCTCATTTATCATGCGATCAATTGATTTATTGTTTATCGAGACAGACCTAACATTGACTTTTACACAGTAACTGCTGGAGATTGACATAAGGAGAAGTGGGTAAATAGAGACAGAAAGAAATAAAGAATAAAAAAAGATGGGCAGATGGAGGGACAGATGGTGTCTGCCTGAACACCTTAGTCTAAACAAACAAACAGACAAAAAAAAAAAAACCAACAACGCTATCTACTGCTTCCTTCAGCATTTTAGTTTGTGTCTTTCCATCATCTGTATTCAACACATCTACCATAGAGCTATCCATGTCTCTGAGCTGCCACGAGGATTTTTTTGCACTGTGGGAACCTTCCTTCAGGACGTTCTAAGGAAAAAGTTGTGAAACTGCTTGCACACTTATTTTCCGTACATTAGTCTAAACCAGAGTCTGCAATCTGCAGCAAGAAAAGAAGCAAAACCTATTGATCAGTTTGAACTGATCATTTCTTAGCCTGTTAGCCACCTCATGAATTCAGCTTCCAGTGTGATCTTTCTTTGAAATCCACCAGAAAAGTGAACAACTTTTACATATTTAAAGGGAATCTTCAACTAGTTGGAACCATTTTTGATAAATAATTACTTCCGCAATAAAAACAAGACCTAAAAAATACTGTATGCTGTCTAGTTTTCTTTTTTTATTGACACAGACGAGGATAAGTAAGAGTAATAAGCTCGCAGACACTTTATACATGCACACAATGTCCTTGACACCATCTTGCAAATGTCCTCTTTTGTTAAACGTGCATCATGTTTGTGTGGTTTGCTGTGGGATAAATGGAGCATGAACTGGAGAGCTGACAAATAAAAATCCAAAAGTTTGGATTAAAGTAGATCATTTGTCTGTTCCATATACAGAAGCTTTGATTAGTTTATGCTAAATCAGAACAGCACGTTACATAAATCAGCTGCTTGTTGCCATGAGTCACCTTGGTATTCCTCCCTCTCAATGTCCGAGGAATACAGTAGAGGTGGAGGACGTGCTTCACAAGCGCACACTGCCTTGTCTCGAAGAACACAGGCTTAGCTTACGACTAATTTAACTATAATGAAAGCAGCAGTTTAAGTTTAGGACCATTCAACCACTGCTACTTGATCTTTTGGGAATTCTCCATTACCTTCGATACAAATATTAAGAGCAGAAACAGGAG